TAGATGGAAAAAAATATATATAACCCTATCGAAAAGCCCTTTTTACTTTCCGAAAAGCCATGGTCACCTGATGCCCCGATTCCTCTTTCTTCCTCTGTTTACTTTCTACAGAGTCCTTCTTCACCTGTCCATGTCATGCAGGCCGTAACAGGGCCCAGAAGAGGGGTGATATCGTTGCAAGGGGGTGGTAGGGGACTAGCCAGTGAGGGACCATTTACATCTTTGGATTAGCGGTCCCCTAAAAGCAATGATGGACCCAGATGGGGAACTGAGGTTAGTTTAACCTGCGCCAACAGGAAAGAAAACAAAATCCTTTTGGAATGGTGCTTTACCAACCCTCAATGTGTTCTTCCTATTTGTAATTCCCCTCCTATAACTCTGCAATTCATCAAATAATTGACCGGAGGGAAAAATAACATTTACAACTATTCCTTCTGGTGACAGGGTCTTGTTAAAGCCTAACAGCAGTTCTTTTTTTAAAGTTTTGAATGGAGTGGAGAAGATTTTTGCCTGGAGTCTGACTTTGATTCCAAAACTAGTAGGATGTAGCTTTCCTAACCAAGGAGACCCATACAGAGTTTGCAGAAAATAATTCAGCGACTGATTCATTAAATTATACATTACTTTCTGGGTCCCATCTTGCCACATGAGGCTCTTCAAAGAATATCACGTAATTTGGGACTGTAATGGAAATGCCAACTGGGGGAGAGCTGAGCCCCTCCATGTCCTTCTCGTGGAGTGACAGTCCCAGGCTGTTACTGAGTAACGACTCCTGAGGGTAGGGCTGCTTCTGAAGACCTCCTTCCATCAACTGCAGGGAGAGAACCAATGGACATTTTACCATTAGATACAGAGTGAAAGGATTGACTGTACGGAATACCGTCCTCTACTGCTGACTAGGTCATCTTTACTGATTGTAGTTTGTTTTTGGAAGTTAGTCAGCCAAGCTTTTATATGGACCTTCTACTTATAGCGAGGCCTCATATCTTATTTGTGCCTAGTTGTAGCTGTACCCTGCCCAATCCTCCTGTGTCCTTCCATAGGTTTTCCAAGAGGATCACAGGTGTGCAGATGACACAGTGCAGGCATGTTATGTGTGTGCTTGGAGCGTCAAAAGAGGAATTAGGCTCTGTTCACACCTGGGCGTATCGAATATGCGCGTTTGTCGCGCGTTTCGCGTTTTTACCGCGGACTGCGGTAAAAAACGCGCGACAAACGCGTGTTTCCGAGGGGCTACTTGGCTGTAACCCAATGGAAACGCGCGACAAAAACGCCGCAAAGAAGCTCAGATACCTTTTCAGGCGTAGGCCGTTTTGTAGCGTGTTACGGGACGGGCTGAAATACGGCGAGGTGTGAACCATACCCATGGAAAACAATGGGATTTTCATGTTTGAGCGTTTTGTAGAGCGTTCGTAGAGCGTTGAACGCGCTACAAAACGTACAGGTGTGAACCAGGCCTTAGAAGACTGAAATCAAAATTAAAGGTGTGCTGGCTTGAACACATTTGTGAGGACACACACCAACCTTTTCAGGGGTGACCTGTTGTAAACACCTACAAATCACAGCAAGACAGCTGGCTGCACTGAATTTGTGTAATGAATGCAATCTGAGGATAGAATACTCCCCAATAGCAGAATAGATATCAGCAGCAGCATGGTTCTGAGTGACAGTGGCTACAGCATTGGTGGTCTGTCCTGACTTCAAAAGTTATTTCTCACACAATCTCTTAAAGGAAACCTCTACTGAGAGAAATAAGTATGCTGTCACTGCTGACCTCTCGTTCTGAAAATCTGAGTTGCTTGGCATTACACTGATCCAGTAGCTTCAATAACATCCACACCTAAACATTGACTTGTCTTGGTGCATGCTTGCTCTGGGTCGGTTTCTTGAAAAGCACCAAAGCAAGAGACAGTCAGGCAACTGGCTTTTTTAAAGGAATATCAACAATGGCAGCTCCATATCTCTCACAGCACAATCATCCTTTACTCATACATCCACATCCTGTATAAGAAGAACTATGGCCTCCCAATAAAAAAATATGTGATGCAGTCCTATAACTAGGTGCTCCTGCAATGTTCTGCAAAGTTGCGGATCATTTTAAAGGAGAACTATGAGGTGAGTGCTTTTCACTCACCTCATAGTTCTAGCCGACCTGTGACAATGAGACTGTCACAGGTCGGCTCAGTAGATCGGGAAGTGAGCGAACACATGCCGGCGTTCGCTTACTTCTCGATCCAGTCACGGCTCTCTGCCGTGACAGGGGGAGGGGCTGGATTCCTCTCTCCCCGCTCCGATCTGCCAGCGCTGACTCGGGGGAGGGGGCGGGTACAGCTGGCTCTGCCTCTAGATAGGTAGAGCCAGCTGTCACTCACGCAGCTGGGCGGATCCCTTCATCTAAGTCGTGATCCGCTCCGGCTGCGGCGTCTCAGTATACCGCGAGCTGTAGCTCGCGGTATACTGAGCTTAGGGTAACGGGAGGACGCTAGTTTGTGTCCTCCCGTTACCCTAAGGAGAACTATGGGGAAAAACACTGACCCCATAGTTCTCCTTTAATGTAATAAGTAAGACACGTTCTGGTCATAATAATATAGTATGGAATAAAAAAGCCATAGAAATTCACCACAAAACAAACCCTTTCTATAACATACATAGAGTACACCCACCGTTCCTAAACACAGACCTCATTTCCATCCGGACTGCAGACTACACAAATAGCATCACCAGTAGAATTGTCCTCTCACCTGCACCATGCTCCAGCCGTTCACCTGCTTACACTGAGGAGGCAACACCAGGACATCAAAATAATAAACTCCACCCAAACTTGAGAACTGCCGCAGATCCACAACGTCATCCTCTAGTATGTTGTCCGGGGTTGGCAGGCTCAGTACTGGCAATGGTGGCTGACCTGCACAGAGGAGGCTTTATTTATTAAGGATCCAAATGGAACTTAAGTGCATCTTAAAATGTCCAAATTAATATTTTACCATTTCTTCAGAGAAAATATCGCTACAGCATTTTAGACAATCGTGTGCTTTCAACCTTGCGGTAACAGTTTGGTGAAGGTTCTTTTCTGTTCCAGCATGACTGTGTCCCTGCGTACAAAGCCAGCTCCATAAAGCTAGATCCGCTCATCGACACTGAATAAAATTGATAGGAGGAAGCTGAGAGGAGGAGTCCAAGGGAACACTGTGCAAGTGCAGATTTGTGGACCAGCAACACAGCAGCTTCATGCTCGTTCCTGTCATGATGTGGGCACACTCAACATAACATCCACCCTAGTATATATGCAGGACGGTGCTGATCATTTAGAATGCTACTATTTTGAACAGGCTTTGCAGAAGCCGTGGCTGGCCTACAGGTATATCATTTAAAGGAAATTCCTCTACACCGCACTATCATTTGTAAACTACTGGGGCCCCTGACTGCACTGCAGATTATATCATAAAGGTTAACTACCCTTTGCTCTATGATCTCTCAAAATTACACAATTTATGAATTACCATAATAATAAATGATAATTAATGAAGTGCAATGTTTGGCTGATGTGGAACTCTCATCTGCAGGGAAATATTAGTAATCTAGTTATGCCTCATGCATCCACGTATAAATGAATATCAGTTTTCTGTGGCCTTCCCTTTTTATTACATATTACCACAATGCACTGACCTTCTGTTGTGTCCCCAGGCTGGCTCTCTGCTGTCTGGTCAGCCTCAGTGGCATTCTTCTCCTGTGGCTCAATTCCGTTTTCAGCATCTTCTCTCGGTGACATAAAGCTGATGGCACTCTAGAACCGCACAATGGATACATCATATCAGCCTGTGAGTAGCTGTCATCACGCAGCGGGCAGTATACAATCACACAGATAATCAAACAATCCCACTTTCCTTTCTGGAGCAAACAGATTTGATAAACATGAAGTTCACAAATTCATCAGTAGGGTTGCACAGATACCAAGTACAGTACTCGGTACAAGTACATGTACCGATACTTTTGAGCTCCAAGACTAGACTAGAGAAAAATTCAAAAATTAGGAGGCAGCTGTCATTTGTAAGGATCACACGGAGCTCCTGGGATTTCTACATCTCGGTTTTAATGTATGATTTTGTTTTTATAAATATAAATAAAGGAATGCACAGATACCAGTTTTGCGAGTACGAGTACTGGTACTTGCTGAGTACTTACAAGTACGAGTACTGATACATTTTTGTTTATTGTCATGTGACAGTTTTTCTAAAACAATACAGACTAATGATTTCAGGACAGTGGTGGAGCGCCAGAGCCAGGTCCCAGCTGCAACCGCTGCAACCCTGGTAGTTCTCATGAAAATGCCAAGTATCTGCACTGGTACTCGAAAAGTAACTGTGCATCCCTATTCATCAGCACATGGAATGATTTAAAGGTATTTCATCTATAATTCCAATCAAAACTTTTTTTTAGTTTTTGATGGAGTGTGGAAAGGTCAGAGTACCTATCAGGTATTTTTTATTTCTGTTTGTGGCCCTGTTGGGAAGATTTCCCTCACATCCTGTGCTGGAGACCGGATTGTTTCACTTTGAAGAATTCCAAGTTGATAAAAAAAAAAATCAATTTCCCTGCTAGTAAAACATGAAGCTTTTGCTGCGTAGCAGAAAGTATGCTCATCCGCTAGGAGGCACTCATCTTACAGGTTGAATGACTTTCTGTAAGTCCACGCTGTCATGCACATACCCCCTGGGGGTGTGTCACCATATTGACCTGGGCTCACAGTAGAACACTGCAGAGAGCAATGATGATGTCATAAAGTCAGTGACACTCTTTTCAGCCTATCGCTAGTGCTGGAAGGAGAGGACCCTGTGACGTCACGTGACCAGCCACATGACACCTCCAAAAACTGAAATATTATACAGGGAATTTTTAATAGAGGGCAGCTGGATCTGAGTTTTACTTCAATCTGACTTTATTAAAGGTTTTAATTACAGCGCAAAAAAATTCACCAAAACAAAAAGAAACATAAAAGCACAAAAGCAAGAATACACAGTTAAGTGGACTTGTGGACATTGTCAGCAGGATAGATAACAGCATGCGAGTGGTACCGTGATACCAAAATAGATAGCAGTATAAACATCCCAGTGCAGAGCAGATCATTAGCATCAGCACAGACCAAAGGATAGTCCGTGTTGACCCACCCCAGTTCCACTTATCGTGGGACCCAGGAACATAATAGGGAGAGGACTGTAAAAGCGGACATATTGTGTTGCACAGGCTGTAGCGCTCAACAGAGGGATGACTAGCATCACTTGTAACACAAGCATTAAGGAGCGGGGCAAGGGAGAAGGGTACAAGGGGGAGGAAGAAAAGGAGGGAGAGAAAGACCAGGTAGAGCAGAGAAGGAGTCAAGCAAGAGGACGTCGGCCACCTGCCCCCTGCCAGGTATCTCAGTGGTGCCCTCAGGTGGGCACATCAAGGAGAGAGGGCTGCCAGGAAGCCATCTACGTTCCGGAAAACAATCCAGGCGGACCATGTGTGAACATATTTGTCTACAGCATCACGTTCTCCTGCCAAGAGGCCTTCCAGATCAGCAATACGGTCCATCTGGATCTGAGTTTAAGGTATATTTTCTCCTTTTTGAGAAAAAAACATGCTAAGGATTGCACTTGCCAATCTTGATCAAACTGTATCAGGTAACGTCTGACACAGAGGAGAGTGGAGCTGTATATGAATACTGCAAGATAGATAACAGTTTATAAGCAGAACTCCAGTTATATTAGAAAGTCTTCAGTGAGGGATACAGGTATGTGTGTGTGGTTTGGAACTCTGATTGAAAAGCTCAGCACTGCAAGCTGGGAGAGCAGAGTGAGATGAGATTTACATCAGGTAGTGACCATTCCTTATATACAAACTGTATAGCGCTGATATGATATCTCACTCACCTTTCTTCCCTCAGACTTCACCTCATCCTCCATTGCAGCAACATTTCCCAGCTCTAGGTTCTCCTTTTCCTCCTCAGCTGGTTTCCATTCCTCAGCCCCGCTTTGTAGTTCAATGGTCTCTGCTGCTTTGTTTTCCTCAGCCTCCTTGATGTGCGGCAGGAAAGTCTCGCTCTGGCAGGACATGTGGTCGTAGATGGTGTGCAGGATATGGACCGCGATGTTGCTTAGTGCTAGCGGTTTTGGCAAGTCAAAGGAGATGCCTTCTTGCTCAAAGTTGTAACCTTTGAACCTGCGCGGACAAGAGGCAGCTCAGTGTTATACCGGTTATACACCTGGAAACTTCTTCAAAGCTTCCCATCATTTCAACTGATGGCGCTGTGACTGAACTGAACAGCAATCTACTGTTTCAATTGTGCCCTGAATTTGAGTAATTGAAAAAGCTCTAAAAATCAAACTGAAACCACTGCAGGTAAAAGATGTGCACTATAATGTCCTGCTATTGCATGCTGATAGAAAACTTCCAACATTTTCACATGGTGGACAAGTGTGTGTTCAGGATAAAAGACAAACACTGCTGCCAGTCTGTTGGTCTTCTGTTGAGCTGTGGCAATGTGGCAATTTGACTGAGCATTTCAACTCTTGATTGTGGCAATACAAGTGGCAATTTGACTGAGCATTTCAACTCTGGATTCCATTTTTTGTCAACATTGCATGGCAAACGAAATGGAGGTTGTGGTTGACTGAGAGGAGATAGGATCATAATTGCTCCAGCTAAACGAGGCAACGTTACAAATGTGCCAGAGAGGGTTTTAATAGAAAAAATAGTTTTGCAGATTGCCTAAGATCACTTTATGAAGATATCACAATCTTCCCCTCCAGTCAAACTCTGGGACACCTCTATCCTGCACCCCATGGCTGCAGTCTTGTGATAGCTCTCAGGTTCCAGGTGTTCATGGAGCGAGTCGAGTGTGGTCCTATAAAGTGTTACTAGACCATCTGCAATATTCTCCTCCAACCACAATTGAGGTGCCCCAGAGAGTCGAGTGTAGCTGGAAGAGGAGATTGTGACATAAGGGGAAGATTATGACACAAGGTGATAGTAGACAAACTGCAAAGCTGGTCATTCTGATCCAGGAACTGGACACATTGTTGATGAAATCTTCAGAGGAAGTAGCAGCTTGATTTTACTGAATACTCTAAAGGAACCATACTGTACACGCACCAATGCCAGCTGATATTTAACAGGATGCCATGATTCCAGTAAGTGCAGTCTATTAGCACCAGTTTGCCATTCAGCCCTTGGTGCTATAACAAGGCCAGGAGTATGAACCTGTATGCTGCCAGTGTAACAGTGTGTGAGTGTCATACCTTGGGTTTTTGTTGAGATTAGCCCAAATGCAAAGTTTGACATTTTTATTCTTTGTGACCTTCTGCATATTCCCCGTGTCAATGTCGGACAGCGCTGCTGCATTCTGGAAGAGAGATACAGAAGATCAGTTGGAGAGTCACCAGCACTATGGATGAGAGCTGATTTCCTGCTGCCTGCCTGGAATCAAGATGTCTCATGTTTCATGGACCTAGCCACTTTACAGGCAATGCTGCCTGGGAAATGTGTCCAAATAAGCTCCAAATGGACTTCATGGTGAATACATTGCAAGATTCAAAGTCAAATAAATAAATGGCTCACTGTACTTTGTAAAATGCTGTAGAATAGATAGCTACTAGATAAATGCAGGAAATCAATAACTATTATTAATTACTTTGTACCTTATATTGTATTGATATGTTCGGCCCGCTAGTGGTACTTTCTAACCTCTATTTGTCACAGCTAAGCACTAGAATTGCCTGATATACACAGACAAAAGGTAGGCTTGTCATTGCTACTATGTCTACTTTCATCCCCACCTTCAGGAGATGCTCGGTGGCATCATCAAATTTCCGATGTAGTAGACTCTGCAGCTGAAGGACTGTCTGGGCATACTGTGCGGCATCACTCTCAGGAAGATCCTCAGCAGGAGTGTCATGAAGGAGGAACTCCAACTCTTCAATCAACTAAAAAAAAGAAAAAAAGACAAGAAACCTCCAATAAACACATGTTATAAGGGTCTGTTCATTTTAATACTTCACCATGGGGCATTGCCTGAATCCGACAATCCTTATTATAGCCAAAGTGCAACCATTTTCATCACACCGTGTTCCTCCGCATGTCACCAAGACAGTCGCATTGCTGAGAAGACATAATGCCTTCTATTTATAGCCATATACCAGCCAAATAATTGCTTTTCGTTTCATTATACTTTGTCTATGTCCTTTATAGACTTGAGTTTGTACAAATTTGAAAGGTAAAAGTGACATGTTAAAATAAAATATGATCAAACAAACCGAGGGATAAAACAAATGTGATAACAAAAAGGCAAAACTGAAGTCAGTTCTCAGGTTTCTCAGTGGATCAAAATGGTTTAAATTACCTGTTTAACTAGACAGGTGATGGTGTTGGGGGGGCGGGATTCCAAAAAGAACCCAAAACAATCCATCAACACCAGCGTGAAGCCTTCTTGAAGGCAAACAGCTAATTACACAGATACATATCTACACAGAGACCTTTTTTTTACCTGTCAAGGATTTCTATTTTCTTCTATCCAGTCCTGAGAATTATACAGCTGTCCCACACCACACAGCCTTGAGTGGCGGGACAAGATAGGTGACACATACAGGTCTTGTCCCTCCCCCAGCCTATGACTGGACAGTGAAATGACAAGCGGCAAATTGATGAGCTCATCTCTCTATCACTCTGCTCTCTCCTACTATTAGTACAACTGTTTGGCTCCTTGTGCTACTTCTCCCTCCCCCAGTATGAACTGGCTGACCAGGGATTGCAAGGGGCTGATACCAAGTTAAATGAAGGTAGTTACACTGCATTTTATTTAAAAACATACATTTAAGAATGTAATAATGAATAGAGAGCTGCAATAATCTGTGTATTTTATATCTGCCTGGAGTTCAGCTATAAACCATAAGCTTTCTACATGCCTCACCTCCAGCACAAGAAAGCTCTACTGTTTTTGGTTCCTTCTGGACCACCTCCCCATAACCTGTCCAGTTATACTTTCTTGTAGTTCACCTTCATTGTTTCCATGCATTGCACTGATGATGTCCACCAACGCCTAAACAGCTGTATGCAGCTTGGAATAAATGGCTCTATGATTTTAGGATGTATCTGTACTATAAACCAGCGGCCGTAAATGTACAGTCGACTGGGGGGTGTCAAGGGATCATTTGCATTGTTTTGCCCACTATGTTAAAATGAGAGATACATTGCTTGTTTCTGGGATCTGTGATGGAAGTGAGACATTTTCAGTTGCTAACAACATAAAGATTGTGGGGTTAAAGTGCAAATAAAGCCATCGCAGCCTTAATAAAAAAATATATATATATATAAGATTGCAGAGGCAGCACAATGTCATCACCTTCCTCCATTACCATTGTAAGATGGCATCGCCTGTCCTTCTGGCTCACTCAGTAACTTCTATTGCCCCCTCCTCAGTTACCCCATATCGTTCGTGAATCAGAGATATGAAGATATATAACCAGACAGAAGATGGTGAGGGGGGCTGAAAGAAACCACAAAATCGGTATGATGTACATTAGAGCCTTCCTAATACATATTTATCTACATGGTTCGCTTCCATCACAAATCCCCAAAACTGGGTTTTTTCCACATTTTAGGACAGTGGGTGAGGCATAAGGAATTATTTGCATGGGCACCCACCAACCAATAAGAAGCTTAAACCCCTCATTTTTTTGGATATCTTAATTGTAGTGAGGTACGCAAGTGCTTTGTGTGTTACGAAGGCTTTACTGTGCTTCACACTGTACCTGTTGTCCTATGTATATATATATATAGCAGATATATAATATAGGATTGAGGCACCTGAACACTCACACTGAGGACCAAATTGCTCTTGTTAATCACTGACTGGAAGTCTTCATTGGTCTCTTCACTCCACAGGCTCATGAAGGTGTTGATCTCCTGGCGTATGGTGGGATCCGGACTCCCGTCACAGAGCATGTAGCGATCCCACTGTAAATAGGAACAATTTAATAACAATTGGTTGTCCCAACAAATACAATTCAAGAGGCCTATTATTGATCTTTGTCTTTGTCCTTCTGGGATAAAGAATCCACTGTCCACCTCTCTTATGTTTTTCTACAATGATGACCACACACAACTATTATATGCTGTGTAAAAGCCCAACTTATATCAAAACAACTGACTAAAGCGGGGAAGAGTAAGAAGCTCAGAATTTGAATACTGTTAGTATCTCCACTGTGGTCTGACTGGATCTCTGTGCAATACTGTTCTCTATGCAATGCAGGCAGATCATGGTTAGTGGAAGGAGCAGGCAGGGTGCTCTATATAGCTTCCTGAAAACATCACATCACCCTGTCTCAGTACTCCCTTCAAGAGACCTCAGCCCTGATGCAACCAGTGAAGACTGGAGAAGTGGGCTTTTCTAGTCAGGCTGCATTTGCATGTGGACTTCCCTAGGTACACATGTGATGCTGAGCCTCCATGACTGTAAGAGCTACAGTAAAATACAATAAGTAAAGGAGAGGGGGCAGCAGGGACAGCCAGGCTGTTGAGGAAGGAGCTAGATGAAGTTGGACGTCCCCCAGCCAGGAAATGAGCCCGGTGTTCTGTCGAAATGGCCAATTTGTCGAAATCTCCAACTCATAACGTCACTTTTGTTGGAGATTTCGACGAGATGGCGGTGGTGCGCGTGCGCCAGCCTTGCCCAATTGCCCTAAGTGCACCTGTGCAGCCCCGCAATCCTCATCGAGTTCTCTAACTGGCATCACTGCTTGTGCCATCGGATGCCCGCGCAGGCGCACTAACGCAAATGAGAGAACGTGATACTGCTCTTAGGTGGCCGCGCAGGCGCACTGACGGGAGTTTGAGATCTCAACAAGTTGGACATCTCGATAGAACACCGGCACTATCTGGCATTCTGCAGTTTCTAATGCACATTGCAAGAAGCTCACAGTGTGCAATGAAATCAAAGGAAGCGATTTAGTTAGGAGAGACGCCTGTACAAATGTGCCAGACTGAAGGGAAGGCCGGAGTTCAGCTTTAGACTTTGGTATTACCCTTTGTTAAATCCAACTGGATGGCAGTCAAAATATCAACAAGCAACCAACCAAAATGTTACTGAGTACGGCCAGCTTTATATGTTCTGGTTGTTATAAAGACCTTAGCTCGTGCACGCAGGTCCCTCTTCCAGCGAGCTGCGGTCCCCAGCTTCTCATCAATCAGCAGACGATGTTCACCCAGTTCCTCATCACGGTGCTCCAGTTGCTGTTGGGGGAGATAGATATCACATGGCATCACATGGCACACAGTCAGACGAATGTAGAAATGTATCTCTGAGGTCAGCTCAGTAAAACATAAATCACGATTGGTTGCTACAACTTTCTGAACTTTGTACATTGCTCACGGTGGATTCACATCATAGACCAAACTTTGTGGCTACATCTTCATCTTGGGTTGAGGTTTCCAATGATGTTTCAGTACTGACTTACCTTCGCCTCCAGACGCTGAATCTCTTCCTTCTCCAGGCGCTCCTTCTCAAGGCGAGCGGCCTCAAGCTGCTCTGCCAGTAATCGAGCTTCCTCTGAGGGAAGGAATGATTGTACATGAGAGAGATACTGTACATTGTTATCCATGTAATAATCCTTTACATAGACAAGACCTGAAACTCTTCATAATGGCTTTATCAATGTCCAGGCAGTGGTGACTGTGGAAGCTTGATCGTGACATAACCATAGGATGTAAGTACATCACGGTTCCCTGACAGATGGGGCCAGATGTGCAGAGGAGTCACCCCAACAGTTCACATTAGCAAGTAAAATGTATTTATAAAGGGCCACTCCAGACAGACAGCTAATACACACCTGAACAAACAGATACAGGAACCACTTTGCCTACCAAACTGCAAAGCCCAGCACTATGGCTGCATAATATACAGAGGGTGACAGCGGAGGCAGCAGTTTGGCGGTCTTCATGCCCCAACCCACCTCCTGCCTGCTCTAGATTATTAATGAATAGCAGACAGATGAGCCCACCCCGAGTCCTCTCTTTTCTGTAATCCCAAGTCCTTCCCATTCCTGCCTATCAGATTTCACTGTAGTTCTAACTGAAAGTCTGATTTGATATTTCAGCTGGTGGTATGGGCTGGGCTGTGAAGTAAATCAAAATGTCAGGTAATTATTCTGAGTGAGCTGGAAAATTATGTAATGGCTTTTGAATATTTCCCTAATGTGAAGACATCGGATTGTGTTATAACAACCTTCCTCCCTCTGCTTTCGCTCTTCCTCCTCTTTTCGCAGCCTCAGCCTCTCCGCCTTGCTGGACTTTACTCTCTTCTGGGAGGTGGCTGAGGTCCTTTTTGATGACTAAATGAAGAAAAATAAATTACAACCCCAAAATCATAACTATGTAACAATCAACATGGAGCAACAGAGAGAGAGAGAGAAAGAGAGGGGAGACAGAGAGAGAGAGAGAGAGAGGAGAGGTGAGACAGAGCGAGAGAGAGAGCGAGAGAAAGAGAGAGAGGTGACAGAGAGAGAGAGAGAAGAAGAGAGAGGGCGAGAAAGAGAGCGAGAGAAAGAGAGATGAGAGAGAGAAAGAAAGAGAGAGAGAGGGAGAAAGAGAGAGGGAGAAAGAAAGAGAGCGAGAGAGAAGAAGAGAGAGGGCGAGAAAGAGAGCAAGAGATGACAGAGAGAGAGAGAGAGATCACAGAGAGACAGATAGATTTTTCTCTCTCTCTCTCTGTCATCTCTCTCTCTCTCTCTGTCATCTCTCTCTCTCTCTCTCTGTCATCTCTCGCTCATCAATTCAGAGATGATTTGAGGATGTAAAGCCGAGTGATACACAAATAAGATAAATTTTTGTGACACGTAGTTTTGCCTAATGAAGGGGATCCTGTGTGACCCCAAAACGTGGCTATAATGTGATGTCACGTACATGCGTCAATAAAAGACGTATTCTTCACTGATCTGGAGTACCGCTGTACTACATTTTTATATCTTCTCAATGGAGCCACATTGTTATGAAAAACCTGTCAGAGGGTCTCACCCTTCCATACTCCTATCCAAAACTAAAGGAAAAAGGTTTTGCTAGAGATACAAGTTAAGTAAAAGACAAACAGATGAAAGTCTGACTCCAGCTGACGCTTTCTTTCTTTCTAAGCGGTTACAGTAACAGTTTATTTTCTTTAGAATAAACATTGAGGGGAATTGATCAAAACTGGAGCAGACAAAATCTGGAACAGCTGTGCATGGCAACCAATCAGCTTCTCTGTCTCATTTTCAAATCTTAACTGAACAAGCTGAAGAGAGATGCTGATTGGTCGCCCTGGGCAACTGCTCCAGATTTTGTCTGCTCCAGTTTTGATAAATTCCCCCCTAAGGCCCCGTTCACACTAAGCGACACTTACCTCGAGCGGATCCGCACGGCAGGGATAGCGCGACTGTTCAGGGCGAGGTTCCAGCGACGATCGCGTGACCTTCACCGCCCGGCTGCATGCAAAAATAGAAAAATCGTGCAACATCCGCGGGGAAAAAGGGTCCCGCACAAGCGACGAGCGACATGGAGCTGTTCAATAGAACAGCTCCATTGAAAATCATTGGACTGCGACTTCTCACGATATCGCTGCAGAAATCGTGCAATTAAACTAAGACACTAAGAGTTCAGGCCCACGGGCTTGATGAGAAAAAAACACTCTCAATTCAATGATGTTATGCAGCCATTTTGTATCCAAAAGAAAAAAACATCCAAGAGGCGCCAGCATCAGACTGCAACATTGTCAGCTTCTCACTTTCATTTTCAAATCTCGACTGAACAAAGAAGCTGATTGGTTGCTATGGGCAACTGCTCCAGATTTTGCTCCAGTTTTGATAAATCCCCCCCATTGAGAACATATGAAAAAAATGTGACTGTGTTTTGTAACCCGACAATGTGATATGATTTGTCCCCAGCGCTGTAACTGTCCCTTTAGCTGGACAGCTTGGCCGCCGGTAAATGTGGAGAATGATATAAATCAAGACTTGAGGAATAATAAAGGAATTCATATACGGAATAGGAATAAGAACCCCATACAGTTACCAGAATACACAATTTTCCACTATTGGCGTCCTTCAGTTTAGTATTTTGAAAAGTTAACCCTTGAAGTGGGGCGACCCATTTTTGTCTAGGGGAACATATAAAGAAGAAATACTCATTTGATCCTCGGTCCTGTAGCAGAGACCACTCACCTCTCTCCCCCTCCTCTGGCATGGTATTGCCCCGGTGTCCTCACATCTGATACAGTGTATTAGACATGATAACATCACGGGACCTGAGACCTCCGGTGCCCGGGAGAGAAGAGGCTGCAAGGACTGGTCTAGCTGACCAGTGGGATCGAGGATCAGGTGAATATTTCTTCTCTATTCCGTCCCCTGCCCCAAAACAAGCAGCTCACCCTTGCAGTGTGAGTGTAGCCCCACTGCAAGGGTTTATTTTAAAAAAATCCTCTTCAAAGTGTATATGCAGTAAAAACTTTTTTTCATGTACGATAGAATGGGGGGAGGGTTAGAACCATAGCCGTGCGCAGGGGGGGGTGTGCCTGGTCACACCCTAATCACCCCGAGCACAACACCAGAACTGCAACACCGGGCGCCTTGTTTTTTGACACTGAGCCAGCGGAGAGATCACAAAGATGACCGGCTCAGCAATACAGAGCGCAGCAGCACTCACCACTTACATTCCTCACATAACAGTCACAGACCTCGGTGCCTGGGAAGCAGTAAGGGAGCGTGGCTGCGGCTTCCCATCCAATCAGGAAGCTGAGCGGGTGGTCATATGATTACCTGCCGGGCTCCCTGCTTCATTACTGCACCCCTGCTGGAAGAGGTATGGGGCAGTGGGAATCTGGAATGCCTCAGGTCTGTATATATATATGAGGGAAGGCTAGCCTAACCCCTAACCCCACCCGCATCAGATTTGTATTTCTGTCTGCATCCCTGTTGCAGATTTTCTCTCACTTCCTGTCTGGTGGTCATTGTCAGCAGAACAGGAAGTGAGAGGGAATCTCTCTAACGGAGCCCTGGATAGTATTAAGAACCTGTCCAGCTATCTAATCATACCCCAATCCATCCAAAACTGGGAAAACATACACTTTAAATGTCTCATGTGTGTGACGGATCTCTATGGGGTGACCCCGCTGGGCTCTTCTAATGCTGATTTCTCTCTCGTCTGTGAATGGTGTGACCAATCTATAGATAAACCTCCATCATACAATATCTGCTCTATGGTACTTATATTATTCTACATACAGAATCCTCTCCTACCTTCTTCTTCCCTTTCCTGCGTCCCTACAATGATAGAAAGAGGAAACCGGTCAAATCTGGAGGACATCGTACCGGAGACATCACCGAAGATCACTGAACTCTGCTGTAGTATAGAATACACACCACGGTATAGGGAGCCGCTTCATACCACGTGGATGTAAACTCAATCCCTGAAATCTCACACAAAGCTAAACACGTTAATGTAATTTCTAAAGTTGTTTTATAGCCTTTTAAATCTCCAGCTTTCACTGAAATAACCTCTGGTGATCCTGCCATGATGGTCCTTGTTTAGGCACTTCCTGTTAGAGGGTGACAACACTTTGACCCTGTCTCCAAGTTCTGCTCCCGGGTTGTCAAGTATACAATTAACCATTTCACTTGCAAATCAACGAAAATCAGTTGATTCGGCGGTTCGTCCGAATCTGAAATAACTAATTTAATATATGCCCGAATATACTAAAACGATATTCGGGCGTACATCGATTCGTTTTTAGAACACGCAATATTGTCCGCCGGCGTGTTCTGCGCATGCCTGCAGCCATCTTGGAGGCAGAGTGTGTGAGGTCACATGGCAGTGACGTCACACGCTGAACGAGCGGCAGCCCGAACATGGGTGCTGCCATCTTGGTGTATACCAAGATCTACTCCAAAATGGCGGCACGCATACACAGAACGCGACCGGCGAGCCGATATGGCCGCGGCTCGTTGTTAGGATTCGGAGGCTCGTTGCCTCCGGATCCGAAAGAACATAAAAATGTGTTTCCTTTGAAGAAACTAATGAAAACGTTTTTCGTTTTCATTGGTTTCGTCTGGAAACAAAAATTTTTGTGCACATGTCTACTAAACACTTCCATGACAGATATGAACCCCATACAGTTACCAGAATACACCATTTTCCACTATAGGGGTCCTTCAGTTTAGAGCAGATTTCCAGGATTTTTAAAAGTTAAAGCGGACCTTTACACTCACAAATCAAATTCCACCAATGCATCCCTCTATGTATGATGATGAATAATAACATAGACGTGTCAGGTGTAAAATGCTGTGATTGTGAAACACTTCCACTTGTAGAGCATTCACTTCCTGCTTTGAAAGGGCAAAATGTCTTCAGTTTGCCAACACAATGCACACTGGGATTGCCTTGTCATCAGCAGAAATCTCATCTGTAATCTCATGAGATCTCGGGGAAAGGCATTTTCCTCCCCAGAGATGATGTGCATGGTCACATGTCCTAGTCACATGTGCCAGAAATCCAGGAAGTAAAAGGAGAGTTAGTAATTTGCCCTTAGTAAACATGGCCACTGTCAGAAGACTGGGAAAGAAAAGAGAAATAAGGAATGCAAAGAGTGCAAAGCCGGCAATTATCTAGAAGTACGTGATTTGTAGATTGTCATTACTAAACATTTCCAATGGTGTGTTTGTTGTTATTTTTGAAGATATGAGGAAAGGTCCGCTTTAACCCTTGAAGTGGGGCGACCCATTTTTGTCTAGGGGAACATATAAAGAAGAAATACTCATTTGATCCTCGGTCCTGTAGCAGAGACCACTCACCTCTCTCCCCCTCCTCTGGCATGGTATTGCCCCGGTGTCCTCACATCTGATACAGTGTATTAGACATGATAACATCACGGGACCTGAGACCTCCGGTGCCCGGGAGAGAAGAGGCTGCAAGGACTGGTCTAGCTGACCAGTGGGATCGAGGATCAGGTGAATATTTTTTCTCTATTCGGTCCCCTGCCTCAAAACAAGCAGCTCACCCTTGCAGTGAGCGCAGCCTCACTACTTTTAAAAATCCTGGCGTTCCTCTTATAGTGTATGTCCAGTAAAAACATTTTTTCATGTACGATAGAATGGGGGGGAGGGTTAGAACCATAGGCGTGCGCGGGGGGGGTGTGCCTGGTCACACCCTAATCACCCCGAGCACAACATCAGAACCGCAACACCGGGCGCCTTGTTTTTAGTCACTGAGCCGGTGGAGAGATCACAAAGATCTCTGTGACCAGCTCAATGATACAGAGCGCAGCAGCACAAGCCACTTACATTCCTCACATAACAGTCACAGACCTCGGTGCCTGGGAAGCTGTGAGGGAGTGTGGCTGTGGCTTCCCATCCAATCAGAAAGCAGGGCGGGTGGTCACATGATTACCTGCCGGGCTCCCTGCTTCATTACTGCACGCCTGCTGGAAGAGGTAAGGGACAGTGGGAATCCAGGATGACTCAGGTCTGTGTATACTGTATGTATATATATACTTTTCTCTAGTAGAGAGAGGGAAGGCTAGCCAAACCCCCCGCCCCCCGTCAGATTTGTATTTCTATCTGCATCCCGGTTGCAGATTTTCCCTCACTTCCGGTCTGGTGGTCATTGTCAGCAGAACAGGAAGTGAGAGGGAATCTCTCTAAAGGTGCCCATACACTTTACAACCCTTTACTTTTGTCTTGCGAGGGTTGCAGGGTAATTAAAAAACGTACGATCTCCCCATCTTGGACAGGCAGATCGTACTTGCGATCATCGATGACCACTGCGATGACTGCAATGAGGGGCGGGCTTCCGATGACTGCAAACGGGCTGTGTGCGCCTGCGCACACTGGCCCGTTCGTCAGTTGTCGAACAAGCAGGCCACTAACTCGCCGAGAATCGTAAAATTCCCGGCGGGTTTTCCAGCCTGCTTGTTCGACGGAAGACGTGCGACCGTACAGTAGAAACGGTCGCATGCCTTCCATACACTGCACGATTATCGTACGATTGCGGGATTTCCCGCGATTATCGTACGAGAATCGTGCAGTGTATGGGCACCTTAACGGAGCCCTGGATACTATTAAGAACCTGACCAGCTATCTAATCATACCCCAATCCATCCAAAGCTGGGAAAACATACACTTTAAATGTGTCATGTGTCTGACCCTGCGGTGTCATTGCTGGGCAGGTGACGGATCTCTATGGGGTGACCCCGCTGGGCTCTTATAATGCTGATTTCTCTCTCGTCTGTGAATGGTGTGACCAATCTATAGATAAACCTCCATCATACAATATCTGCTCTATGGTACTTATATTATTCTACATACAGAATCCTCTCCTACCTTCTTCTTCCCTTTCCTGCGTCCCTACAATGATAGAAAGAGGAAACCGGTCAAATCTGGAGGACATCGTACCGGAGACATCGCCGAAGATCACTGAACTCCGCTGTAGTATGGAATACACACCACGGTATAGGGAGCTGCTTCATACCACGTGGATGTAAACTCAATCCCTGAAATCTCACACAAAGCTAAACACGTTAATGTAATTTCTAAAGTTGTTTTATAGCCTTTTAAATCTCCAGCTTTCACTGAAATAACCTCTGGTGATCCTGCCATGATGGTCCTTGTTTAGGCACTTCCTGTTAGAGGGTGACAACACTCTGACCCTGTCTCCCAGTTCTGCTCCCAGGTTGTCACCCTGTCAAGTATACAATTAACCATTTCAGCACACATTACACAGGTATGGTCCATTGTTGTCAATAACTGTAAACAGGCCCTGAGAAATGTCATGAGTCCAACACTGGAGTACATGCAGACCGGAAGTGATGGCAAAGAGGCTGCGTGAGATCAGCAGCACTAAGATGGAACAAACAAGAAACAAAAGTTGGTGGTGGGGGTTGTTTAGGGTTGG